TTCACAAAGTGACTGAGGCAGGCACTTTAACTTATGACTTGTGGAGAGCTCGTTTTGGTAAACTTAAAAATGTTACCTGTACATTACTTATTCACTTATAAGCAGCAGTACTTTTTTCAATATCTACATTTATGTCAGTTGTAAGTAATTAAATGTTTGGAAAACAATTACTTGCTGGCAGACTTAGAATATGAAATTTCTGCAAAAGCCGTTATGACGCTTTTATGTGGTCAGAAATGGAATAGTATAGTTGCAATCATGACCATGAGATATTGTGGTTATGATGGTAGAGAATTCCTATCACTATGGGCTTGCACCAAAGTTCTCATAACTCATCTTTTCACCTAAGACATGGATGAGCTCATGACACATTCAAGATGAGTTCCCTTACTGTACATTATTTGATGATTTTTAGCTGATGAAAATAGAATTTTGTGAAAGTATTTTGGAATCTAACGGTTTTATTAAAAGCATGTTTGGAAAGTTATGAACTGCTTAAATAAAAATAGATAAAAATGAGTTATGGAAAAGTGGATAGTACTTGAAATATAAGGATAAAAGTTGCTCAAGTATTTATAGACAGACATGAGCCAAACATAGGCTAAGCAGGTTTAGATCTAGTAATGAACCAAAAGGATGGCAAAAAGGAGTTATGTATTGATCCAAATTTGTTGGCAACAGGGTTTAGTTTTTAGTTTTGTATATTTAAAATAAGCTAAAATTAAAGTTACTTTTGTAATACTAAATTGATATACTTCTCATTTAAGTAATTTTGAAATTTTAATGAACTGGTAATTATTATTTTTCTACCAATTTATTTGAATTTCATTTTATAATTAAGAACAGAATTAAATTTAGAGCCTGTTTGAGCTTCATTTCATTGTAAGAATGCATTTTGACATATCAGATTGATTGAGAATATGTAGTTAAAAAATAAAGAAAAATTTCGGGTTTGCGTATAATATTATTTCATTAAAGAATGTGTGGTTGAAAAGAAGAGATAGAAATATATGCTGAAAATAATGCGAAATAATTTAATATTTCTGATATGTAAACTATTTATTATTAAATAATCTAATAGAATTCTTCTTGAAGATCTTACTTGTAATTAGTAAATGATGATATGGATGAATTTTTTCCCCTTGTTCTAGTAGAGGATTAGTAATCTTGTTATATGATTACTGGTTGGTACTTTATTGATTTGTCACTTGCTAGTTTGTTGATCTATTTTTCTAGATTCTAGTTACAAATCCAACTTCCAATTTTGTTGAAATGTTTTATCATGGATAATCTAAATACATGTATGATTGGTTATAGTTTAATCATTCATGGCCAACATACTTTTATCCATACATTTTATAGGATCCACAACTTATAATCACTTAAAATTTAACTTAATCACCTACTAAACATACATTAAATGGTTTATGGTCTGTTATGAGCATAATTTTGCATTCTTATAAATTTTTAAATCATTTTAATGGGTTTATTTGAGGCTTCTGCCTCACCTAACATACGCAGAACACACCAGTGCCTGACTTAGCCTTTTGAACACCAGCTGGGGAAAGGAAGTTAATTGGATGTTGAGATATAATTTTCTAAACTTTATTCACTAATTGCATGAGCATAAGAAATGAACTGTAGTCATTTGTATCTAGCTGAAGTAAAACAAAAGAAATATCCGAAAGCATGTTTGAAAATGTTTATGTACGGTGTAAATCATAAATAGATAGAAATGAGTGGTGGATAAGTGAGCCTTGTGAGTACCTCGAAATGTGTGGAAAAGAGTGACTTAAGTGTTAAAAGCTAAACATATGCTGAGACAGACCAGAGGAAAATGAGGATGGCAGTGAACATACCTGATTCTATATAAAGTCACAGTGTCACACATTAATGGAACCCAAAGGGCCTGATTTAGTAGTATTTGTGGAAGAGTAAATTGGTAAGCATACAATGAAACAAAGACGGCGAAATTCCTCAAAAAAATACCACTGGGATAAGATAACATGCAGAATTTTATGCATTCTAATTAAGGAAAGGCTGAATCAGACAAGGAAAGAACTTCTAATGACTTGGAGAAGAATTCTTCGCAGATCACCAAGGAAGCATATAAGTGTCTGATGAAAGGCAAGAATAAATACAAAATAGGGACATACAGGTAGATTAATAGTACATGACAAGAAGGAATCCAGATAAGCAGTTGAAAATTAGGAATTTTCAGAAATTGCAAACTCATGGTTCAAGCAAGCATTAGATACTTGTACCAATCAAGCAAGAGTATTCAGATTGGGACGAGATAATGCCTTATAGAACCTGCATTTCATAAGGAGATGGTCGTTCAGCACTTAGATCTATACATATGAACAGCACAGAGGGCATGCGAGGAAGAGACCTGGATCAATCACATATATATCAAAAGACAGGAGAAGAAGCTGAGAGGAAGGAATAGGAACAAACTGAAGGATCCATGTATTATGAGTTTGACAATCAACTCAACATCAAATACACGAGAAAAGCATATCAGAAGTAAGATGCACAAAGGCTCGATAAACATCCTATCAACTTCTACCATGGATGAATCGAACTTATCAGGCAACACAGGTAGAACCTATACCGCTTGAAAACAGAACATGCTACTAAACTTCCAGCAACATCTTCATAAGATTTCCTACAGAAGAAAACTTAGTCCAGCAGAAGCCTATGAAATAAAATACTCTCAATGATGGTAACCTAAAGGAGCTTCAGAGGAGAAACTATTGATGGAAGAACCCAACACCGAAACACAGTTTTCAACTACAACAGGACCAAAGTATCTTCATAATTTAAGTAGCCATTATGAATGCTTGAATCAAGTTTTCAGCTGCACGCTTCTGCTCCGGTGTGCCTGATATTAAAGCCACACGATCACCTCGGGAGGATTTGGAATCTGAAATCTCTACTGCTGCACCAGATATCTGGAAGAGAATGTGTGCATGTGAGAATGTAAGTTCAAATCGAAATGCGAAATTCATGCAAAAATCACAATAACCCAGACAGCCTAATGCGCCCCCACAACCCCAAAAATGCCCTTCCCAGCAGGGAAGAGAATTTGCCCTAAGAGGAGTTCCAGGATTTTCAAGGGAACAGCTTATATATGTCCTAGCCTGCCAATTGATGCAATTCTATAGTAGTGGCTCAACAGACCTGATAAGCTTAGCCACACACGGTCAATATCTAGGATAACAGTTCACAAACATAAAATTCAAGAATTCACAACTAGACCACCCAAAATTAGCAATTGAAAAGAAACCGAATTGTATCAGGTCTGCCATCATGCTGGAAAATCTTAACTTGCAAGTTAAGCAGACTTTCAGTCCTGGACAACTGAAAAAAGATTTACCTCCTGCTGGTATGCAGCAAACTTTGTAGCCCAAATCACCGAAGTTTTTGATTTAGGGAGAAATAGCAGGAAAATGAAGTGAAAAGAGGAGGAACGTTCCAGACAAAAAAGAAGAGAAATACAGAACTTACTGGTCATTGCTCTGTGAAAGTAAAACAACTCACCTTACGTATATTTTCAATATTCATGCCACCTTTGCCCATGACTTTACCAACTGCATATGCAGGTACAACCATTTCCAGAGTTGAAGGTGGAGGCAATCTGCTTAACAAGGTAAGGTTATGATTAAAGAAATACTTTAAAGATTTCAGAAAGATTAA